ATAATGCACAGTGTGTCACAGATGAAGTGTATTGCAACACATACACATTCAGCCATAGTAAAATAATTGTTTCTATAAAAAAAATATTGCAGACAGATAGATGACAGATTGGTACATTTTCAATTCCCCACTCTGCAACAGGGGACAACAAAGCAAGGAAGCTGACCAATTCAACATCTATCCCTACAAAGCAAGATCCAAGCTGTGGTAGAAAGGCTCTTTGCTCTAAGTGCCCTTGTTTCATGCGCATGTAGAAAACATGCAAAAGCTGAATGACAATTTTACAAAAATTGCTCCCTCGTTTTTGTTTTTTAACATTTTGCTTCTAATGGGCAAGTCTTTCTTGCAATTTTTAAAGTTTTCTGAAGGTTATCCAAAGTTTTCCTTTAGMTGATTTTTTACTTTGTTTCAGCTGACCATTTTCAGACTCATGTTTGTTTGTTAAGCCATTTATCTTGACTTATAAGGAAAATACATAAATAGTTTAAGAATAAGGTCATCATACAAGAGTTTGATACGYCAACATTAGTGGAAAGTATTGTAGAGAAGCTCAGGCAGGTGCACTCTTTGCGAGCGCTCGACATCACTGGGCTTCCTGTCAAAGCATTACTCAGCGTTCGGCAGAACCTAAATTGGAGACAGAGACGAGGAGAAGGAGGAGGTGGCAAGTCATTAGGCAGGAGGAGGGGCCAACACACAATGAGACAGTGAGAGGGTTGAAAAGGAGAGTGGCAGACCTGCAGCTCTGGAGAAAGTGAGACAGAAAAGAAGCACAGGACACGCGCAGATAAAAGCTCACTTAACTTTTACTTACAACACACACACTAAGTCAGACAGAGAGGCGAGGAGCGAACCTRAAGCTGAGCAGACACTCTTTGTCACACATCACATCCCTCTTATCAGGCTGCAGCAAGATGTTTCTCTGGAGGCTCCTCGAGGCTGTGTGTTTGTTGTCGGTGTGTGTGTACGCATCTTTCATCTATGACGATGGCCTCGATACCAACTACCCATTTGAGAACGAAATAACACAGGCGGAGACAACGCAACGTAAGTGTTACAACCTTTATTGCTGTCTTCTGTTATAGTTATTGAAAAGAGTGCAGTTATTGGGTCTGATGGTGGTGGGTTCAGTTGCGAGGTGAGATCAGGACATTAATTCTGTGAAGATGCACACCAAGAGAGCAGCAATGAGCTTTATTATCCTAAAAAAAACACTTGAAACTGAGAGTTGTGTTTTTTGGTTTACTACARTTAGAACCATCTTAACATAAGATATCATCAAAGATATCAAAATTAAAAGAACAAATCATTTGCTAACTTTCAGTTTGTTCAAACATTCAGGATGTTTTAAACAAATATGTGTAGGAATCCAATGTTGCAGCTGTACATATTGAGATCTCTGTTATAATGGGATCTGGCATCTGAACTGGTGATTTCACCCTGGATAGTTTGTGTAAAGTGTGAAATAAAAAGAACAAAAGAACCACAGTGTGCCCAGAATTCAGAAAAAAAAATGAGGCTAAATGAGCTGCATCCTTTATTATGGCGTCCCTAAAAAGCAAGCCTCTTTTTGTCCACAATTCTAAAGTTATTTTCTCTGTTTCAAACAGCATTAATGTTTTCTGGGTGCGTACATGTTTAGTTTTGCATGTACGCCACAGAGCAACTCTGTGTGGTTTGTGTGTGTGTGTGTGTGTGTGTGTGTGTGTGTGTGTGTGTGTGTGTGTGTGTGTGTGT